TCCTGTAATTAGTTGTCAGCGGTGAGGGTTAAATAGTAATAACCCCCAATTGCATGCACAAGAGATGAATTAGTGTAAAAATAATTGAAATGTTGTGTCATACTTCAAGAGTAGCTTGTTTGCTTGTAAATTAACCAATTTAAATCAGTAACGTTTAGTCAGTGGCGGCTTGTGTGGGGGGAGGCTCCCCTAGAAATTTTTATAGTAAAAAAAATTAATTTAGAATTTAGTTTACAATGTTATTTACATATCTAATTGAATCTATTAGCCTCACGAAACAAATTAAAAAGAAAATGTTAAATTTTTGCAAAACACTGAATACGTGGTCTCGTAGCTCGCCTCAACTTCTGTAAAGTGTTTACAGCGGCGGTTATGGTTACAGTCGTGTAGCAGTGAAAGGTCAAGTGGGAGTAACGCGTATTTACTATGCAGTTTGGCTCTGTTGATTGTAGCACTTGTAAAAATCAATGGTGCGAGAATACCAAACTTTAATGAAAAATTGACCTGAATAGTTTATTTCGGAGAAAAGCAGAAGAATGGACTTTCAGTAAGTTGAGTACATTCAATAGTACTTAAAATAAAACTAACCAATTATGTTTGATTTTTTTTTCAATACTTTATATCTAAATTTTTCCGCCCTCCCTGTTATGGAAATCAAGAGTCGCCACTGCGTTTACTAAAGGGTTTTTCAATAAGAATGATATGATTTTGAAACGTTATACCTGTCTGTCACTAGTTGTCATTTATGTTCAGTAAACTAACAATTTAATACGGCTAAATACGCGCTTCAAGAACGTTTGGTTATTATCCAAAGATTTTATGAACACTTATCGCCGCTCTTCGAGAAAACTTTGGTCAAATAATCGCCCTTCTTTGCTTGCCACTCGTCGCATTATTGAGACATTAGAAAATAATTTTACTCTTCACAATATAAAAACACCAGTAAGACGTTGAAATGCCATAATTGTTGAGAATATTGCTGCTGTAAGAGCTAGCGTTGCAGAGGATCCAAATTTATCAATTCCTCGTAGAGCGTAACAGTTAAGGCTTACAATAATTAATGTTACGACAACTTGGCAGATTTCGCAAAAAGACTTGAATTTACACCTTTATAAGATTGTTTTGACCCAAGAACTTAAATCATTGGACCATCGTCAGCACCGATAATTTGCTACTTGAAGTTTAGAACAATAACTGAAAGGGATCCAAATTTTGCGAAAAAAAAATATTTTTTCAGATGAAGCTCATTTTTGATTTAATGGATAGTTAACAAGCAAAATTGTTTTTGGTGTGAAGACAATCCAACAGATTTAGGAAAAGCCTTTGTATCCGCTGAAGGTAACTGTATGGTGTGGTTTATGGTATGGTGGTATTATCGGACCATTTTTTTTCCAAAATCCACTTGATTTGGTGGATATGTGGTTCCAGCAAGACGGTGCCACATGTCACACTGCTCATGAAACTATCGACGTATTGCAAGAAAAGTTTGACGAAAGGATAATTTCAAGGAATGCTACTGTTCACTGGTCTCCAAGAAGCTGTGATTTAACTCCTTCAGATTACTTCTTTTGGAGCTATTTGAACTCTAAGGTCTATGCAGACAAACCATAAACACTCGATGCATAAAAATTGAACATTGCATGCTGCATTCGTCAGATCACGCCCGATTTATTGAAAATTTGGTACATCGAATTCATACGAGATGAAGTCGAGATAGACATTTAAGCGATGTGTTATTCAAAATATAAATGTTATTGACTGTACTTTAAGATAATATAAAAAGTTTGGTTGTATCTGAAATAATTTTAATTTTATTTCAATTTAAAATCATATCGTTCTCATTGAAAATCGCTTTACAATTTTGTTTCTTTAAAAGTTACAGATCAAATAACATTTTTAATTTATTATTTTTTAAGCTAACTTCGTCAATATTGCTAAAGTTACTTATTTTAATTTTCTTTTTTTTTTTTCTTTATTCGTTAGATATTATGCCACATGTGAACAAAATTTAAAAAATTAATAATAAACCATCACGCCAAAAGTATCAGTCAAGGATTATTTTTTTATGAAAATAATTGTGCCTGATAAAAAATTGTACACTGAAAAAAGAAAACAAATACAAAATACACTACTATATATCGCGCACTTCAAAAACTGGTTTCGAAAATCTATTTGTTTCCGTTTTTTCGTTTTTAAATATTTTTAACATTGTAAATGTGTTTGCTTTTGCCTATTTCCATAGGTAGAGATATCATATGATATTTATTCTATTACTAGGTACTTAAGTAATTCATTTTTTAGTATTTGTAGCTAACAAGAATCTAAGTTCAGAGAGTAATTTGAAACACAGAAGACGAGAACAGGTTGATTTTCGAAATGTCAACACGTTTTGATGTGCATGATACATAGTGAATATGAATTTTGTATTTTGCATCTGTCTGCCTTTTTCAGTATGAGAGTTTTTCATTTCATTTCAAAATAATAAATAAAACATATAAATCACATGCTGGTAAAACAAAATTTCAGTTTTCAACTTCAGTTGTCAATTATGGATGGCCAATTGTATGGAGGTATTATAGATTGATGAAACGTCATGTGTTTGGCGAACTTGCAGCTGCAAAAATTATATTTTATGACTTACAGCATCTTAATTACCTCTGTTTAGATGCCAGCATTTATTAAGATAGCAATCATAGGCCAGAATTGAGGAATACTTCTTAGTAACTGGAAATGTCCTATTATTTTAGATTTCTAAACACCAAAAACATTTTTTTGTTACACATTCTTAATATCGGCTTTTATACTTCACTTGGAAGTATTAACAAATTCAAATTAAGTTTAAAAATTCTCCTAAAGCTGTATTATGATTAAACCTTTGACACCAACATCTGTTATGGATCACTACGCAACTTTTTAAGAGAAGACGTTAGATACAAGTAAAGAGACATTATTAGGAGTACATTATTTATTTAAATTTGTCAATATGTGTTCCTTTCATTAATAATAATTTTTTAAGATTTAAGTTATATGCAACATGTTCATTGGATATTACAGATGTAAATCAATGCTGGATGGAACTTTAAATAGTCATTTCCTATAACATCATTAAAAACACAGGCACAGATAAAAAATTTCAACCCCAAGAGACCCACATATCATTTCCGACGGAAATCGATGCGCTCAATACGATCATGTAGTTAAAATTCATGACTTGCCGATGAATTCCGGAGAAAAGTGAAATTTTTGAGTGAAAACTGATCCAAATATAATCCAAAACTAAGTTTTTCCTAAATTTTGTTCAAATACTTATATAATTTTCGTACTTTTCACCCAAATTGTGGATTTTCTGAGAATTTTCGAGGTCATAGCTAAATTTTATTAATGGCATCGTTTTCAATGTCTCAAAATACTACGAAAATTAGGAAATTAGGACAAAATTTAGGAAAAAATCAGTTTTGACCCATGTTTGGGAAAGTTTTCATGCAAATAGTGGATTTTCTGAGAAATATTGAGGTCATGGGTAAATTTTATTAATGGCATCGTATTCAGCACCTCAAAACACTACGAATATGGTATATTTGTACAAAATTTAGGAAGAAGTCAGTTTTGATCCATAATTGGGCGTTTTCATCCAAAATTCTTTTCTCCGAAATTCATCAGCAATTCATGAATTTTGACAATAGGATCGCATCGATTTCTTCGGAAATTATATGTGGGTCTCTTGGATTTGGACTTTTTTCTGGTGTGCCTGCGTAATTAATTAATAGCTTGTTTTTGAAGTTACTTTTTAGCATACTTAAGGCGGGTATCCATTTGTGTCAAATGCCCCGTAACGCAACACAGACTATGTTACGTTACACCTAGTGGAGACGGAAAATTGTTGCATGGTACGTGTAACAAATTTGACACGCGTAACTAATCCGGGACGAACCATCAGTTGTCGGTTTTTAGCCGTCGCATCAAAGGGGTGCAACAGTAATTTCTGCCACATGTTGAGGCGGGGTTACCTTTTTGGCCGTAACGTTGCCTGTTGCACATGTAATTTTGTCTTATTTTTTGTTTCGTCAGTCTTTTGTATATGGTCTGGGGTCAGTCTGTTTTCTGCAGTGACTAGGAAGAGTGTGTTTTTCTGTGTTTGTGCCATGGAGTCGAGTAAAGAAAAGATTTCAAGTGATTTCCGTTTCTTATTCTTCAAAATTGTATGATGAATAAAAATATATGACGCTGCTGCTAACTGCAATTGCAGTGACGAATCCATTATTGCAGTCAGGTTCATACTGCGAGTGTATGTTCCTGTGTCGTCTCGTAACCTTATTTTGTTACGTTGCGGAATGAATAATACAACCAAAACCACACATACTTTCGCAGCGAACCGTGTCACCTTTTGCAACAGACCGTAACATGTTCGTTGTTAGGTTACGGAGGATTGCCACAAGTGGATATCCGCCTTAGATATTGATGTCTTCATCAGAAGAGAATTTTAGGAAAAATATTAAGCTAGGCTTGAATAACTATTTAATACATTTCACCGAAAATATTTTGAAATCTGTATATACCTTCGAAGCAGCACAAAACGAATTTTATTATATTCTTTTCCAGAGGACAAATGATTTTATGAGAAATTTGCACATTTTTAGAAAAAGTAATAGTCAAACCATGTCCGTTTCATCGTTATTGTAGAGAATAAAAAACGCTGATAGACGATTCATCATTTCAGATAAGACCCACTCACGTCATCAAATACAGGTACATCTAATAAGTATATAAGTAAAATGAAACGACGAAAATTAATTCAAACAAAGGTGCTTCCTTTTTTACAGGAGTAATTCTTATAAATAGAAACCTTGCCTCCATGCATATTTTTATATTTAACTTAGTAACTTTATGCAGCCCAACAGTGTAGACCAAAGTAATAGGAAACAAAGCCTAGGTCGCTAAATGAAAATGTATTACACCACAACTAAACGGTGCTATATTCTAATAAGACATTCATTTTCCAGGTATTCAGACAATCCTTCACGGCACTCTACACCATCTATGACGTCAGTAAAGAGTGAGTATTTCATCTTCCATTGATATATAGCGGTACGTGTTTTGTTAGATCATACTTTAGTAGGCTATATTTTATGATTTCTAGGGTTTCCGTCCATATATCTACATAAAATGTTCGCGTGAAATCAATTTCAGTTGAATTTCTTTGATACATGTACGTTTACATGCTTAGAAAATTCGATTGTCATGGCACATTGTCATCATTTTAAATGAAACAAGAAATAAAACGTAAGCCTTTCAATATATATTAATAAAATAACTTCTACAATCATTCGCAATAATGTAAGTTGTTAATTACTATTTGATTATACAGAGCAGAATATTAACAAATAATTATCTACCAACAATCAAATAACAGACCAATATGCGTCGGTTTCGCTCACATACGAGAACAATGTTTGTTGTTTCAGGCTAATCCACCAATTCCAATAATATACATTTCAATTCATATAAATTTCATCTATATCTGTTTGTATCAAAGTGTACACATTCCTCCATTACTTTCTCAACGTTCTCATCAAAGTAGTTTATGAATTTAAAATATGCAATAAGGAAAAATAACAGAATTACAATATCAAAGGAACAAATCGTATGACCAAATAATTGCATTTGCATAGGTAATTCTCTGCTTGTCCATTGCCTAGTGGTAATTTTCCACATAACAAAAGTTAATTATTAGCCTACAAAGCATTTTTAATTGTGCTTTTACCATTGTTTTATGAGCACGATGTTTTATATTCAAAAATATGGTTGTATATTTTTATAAAAGAATACCTCCAGCAGTGCAACTGTTTGTTTTTAATTAAGTAGTTTTAATCAAAACTAATAAAAAATGCGTACAAAAAATTTGTTGTTCATTAGATATCACTGAAAATAAAAAAGCATTTTACTCAAAATACACGTTGTTCGGAAACATAATTAGGTGGGAGAACAACTAATTTAAACAACACATTTTTAAGAACATGAGGCGTAAAAACTTTCATTTCCAGATACAGTGTTGAAATAAAAAAAAATCCTATTTCATATTTTTTCAAATATTTCTGTGGATGTTTAATATGGTCTAATGAAATTTAGGCCAAATTTACCTATTTAGAAGAAAAAATTCGCTGAGCTAGCCTACAAATATCAACCAATAGCGGAGAAATTGAGAAACAATTTCACTAAAAGTCCAGAATTTTTGCGTTGTTGAGACTCAAATATTGGAAAAATATGTTAAAAAAATTACCGATAATGCTGAGAAAAAATTATATGTTCCTTTTTTATCAGCAAAATGAGTTATTAGCTAATTTTCATTTTATTATTTTTAATTTAAAATAAGCATACCACGGAGTTGAATAAATCAACAATCAACAAAACTAAATCAACAAAAAGTATTCACTTACAAATCGATTTTAAATGAAGTAATAAAAATCCATCAATCAAAATCAAATCAAGTTAGTCAAAACCGATTTTTTGAGGACTAGAAATATCAAAATTTCTGCGCCAAAAATGTATTGCTATTTTTTAACTCTAATCTTAGGAAACTTAGCAGTGTTCTTATCAAACTTCCTCAAAGGTTGAAGCGACGTTTTTTTTAATTATTAGTTTTGTCAGGTAGTCAAGTTTCTTAAATAACATTCGAACTACCCTGTATATACTGCTCATTTCTAAAATTGTGCCTTTTTCTACAACACGCATATGAGACTTTATTAATAATACTATGTGTCCGGCTTTTTGCTATTCATTTCTTTTTTTATTACATTTTCAATGTTGCTGTTTTTCCGGCAATTAACACTGTGTTTAATAATTTTCAGACATTACAAACAACTAATATTATGTGAGAAACCGATGCTGCACGAGGACAATCATACAAGGTTTAAACACTTGTGATGTTTGACGATTATGTAACATACACATCCTCTGCTTGCCCCTTTTTGCACTAAACTACTAACATAACTATGAATTTTTGCAAATTTTTTCGTCGACACGAAAATGTGTCGACAAATGGTTTTTTCGCTTTTCAATAAGATTAACCTAAACATCAGAAAAAAGCCTTAAGCAATAATAACTACAACCATATATTTTTCTTTAAATTCTCCAATTTAACAGTTAAATTAAAATGAAGAGAACATATAGGAAATAGTCGAACTACTATTAATTAATATACTTAATTCAAATACTTATATGTGATTAAGATGTACAGTACGGATTAAAAAAAAGTACACGATGTTCCGAAAATGAGTACAAAAAATTAAAGATAAGCATAAAAAATGAGATGAGTTTTTCATATGTATCACATTCCTATCGTCCTTTGTTTTTAAAACTGTTATTGGTGATTTCTTTAAAATAGAATTTTACCGATATTTTTTCCATAAAACAACGTTTTCTATTGAAATTTGGTACAAGATTTTGAGAGTGCTAAATACATAACTGTTGTTAGTCTTTACCATTTACTAGAGATCGCTGGCTGTATTAAGGACCGATAGTAAAGAAAGAATAAAAGTATTTTTATTTCACACCGAAAGTCTGTAACTTTTTAAAGAAGCAAACTTGTAATAAGGTGATTTCATCTAATTCGGTTTATTTCCATTCAAGAAAGCTACCCTTGAAGTATGGTCTATTGCTACTAGACATCCTGTATATTAAAGATTAAAAGCTGATTTACTTTGGGTCAATTGCATTTTTCTCAAAGGTGGTGAGTTTTCAAGGATTCTGACAAGAGTACCTTCTTGAGTAAAATAAAAATGTACATTTTAGTATATAAAATTCATTGTAAAAAAAACCTAACCTCAAAAAATGTATGTTACAAAGTGTCACAGGGAAATACAGTAGTTAACGACGTTTTGCAGATAGTCAAAAATTAACATTATTGTCGTGCTTACAGTAAATAATTTCTCCTATTTCAATACTATAACTGTTTTTGGAAAAGATAAGTATCTCAAAAAATACGATAAGTCTATAGTCCATAGGAGAAAATCGACATTTTTTCTGTTTTATCAATCCCTAAGTTTTTTACACATTTCCGAAACAATCTATACAAATACATAATAAATTATTTTCTGATTACAGGAAATAACCGTATTTGAAAACAATTTTACAATTTTGCCAATGTTCCTTCTGAAACAAATATTTGTAGTAAGTACCTATCCCTTTGCATGCATTTTGCATCTAATCCAAAATTTGTTAGTTATACAGGGTATCCCGGAATTCATGCAACAAAATTTGGTCATAGATTCTTATGACAAATTTAGCGGACCCGTATTTTTTTCTTTTTGCCAACTGGCACCCTCTTTCGGAGTTACAGCTCCCTGAAATCTGCCCCTAAGAAGTTTTTTTTATGTCTCAAAACCATGTTGTACGAGAATCACTAAATTTGGTACACAGGGGTTTTATGACATGTGGAATCTCACAGTGCTACGCTTTTTGGCGAGAAACCTCCTTAAGACACTTTTTCGTGGCCCCTCTTGTCTTTGTAACCAGAAAAATTTGGTAGCAAATTTGATTTTTTTAAATTATTAGTTAGCTAGAAAGAAAGAAAAATTTAGAAACTTTTTTGTCTCTTGATATTTGTTTCGTAAAACGCAATGTTTTTGAGGAAAATGGCGAATGACGATATGCATTCGATCACATTTTGACATTTTTCTCGAAAACATTGCCTTTTACGAAAAAAGTATAAAGAGACAAAAAAGTTTCTAAATTTAATGGCTTTCTAGTGAATTGATAATTTTTAAGAAATTTAAATATGCGACCAAATTTGTTTGGCTCCAAAGACAAGGGGGCCCACCAAAAATTGTCTTAAGGGGATTCCCCGCCAAAAAACTTTGCACCATCAGATTCCACATGTCATAAAACCCCTGTGTACCAAATTTAGTGATTCTCGTACAACAGGGTTCTGAGATATAAAAAAAAAGTATTCTTAGGGGCGGACTTCCGGGGGCTGTAACTCCGAAAGAGTGGGCCACAAAATGAAAAATACGGGTCCCTTAAATTTGCCCTAAGAATCTGTGACCAAATTTTGTTGCATGAATTTCGGGACACCCTGTACATATTTTTCTAAACATTACCAAAAGTTTATGTTCTGGCACATTTTTATAAGAAATGTTCCTACGTATCCTTTTTTATGTTTAGTACTACAGAAATTGCATACAAACTAAATATTTGAAGCTGTTCGTGTACAAACGTAGAAGCAACTTACGTGGCATATATCTCCTTGCACTCATTTAAAAACATAAAACCTATATCATAATTAATTGAATATTATTCCAAATGTACTTAATTTCTTAATTAGCTCGTTGTTACTTCTATTTATGAGTAAACTATACTTATCTGAAAAATAACTTATTTTAACAACTTGACATTACTTGAGTATAAGTTTTTTTATAAGATAATTTTGATTATCTTTAAGATATATCCAAAGAAATAGAAGCAAGTTATCTCCTTTACAAGGAAAAGAAACATTTATATTTAAAACATGAATCATTAACAAAATTCTTAAAGTTGTTCATAAATTTGACAATCAGGCGTTTTACTGAAACATGCTCATATTGTGTTAAGTTAGGTGAACTTTACATGCGGCATATGGTTTCCTGTCTCCTGAGCAAGAATCCATAGTCTGTTTTGCTTCATCACCCTTCAGTTTTCTGTAAATCGCTGAATATCTTCAGGAAATCGCTAACAATTTTCAGTAAAATGGAGAAATTTAGGGTGACGGGATCTTAACACGTGACACATGTTTTTCGACGTAATTTTACCTCCTGGATCCGAATCCGTTTTCAGAATTACTCTATAGCCCTCTAGTCTTCAAAAACTCGCTGAAGATCTTCAGAAAAAGGGCGAACTGATATAATTTTTTTCTACTTTTGATAGTTACATTTTATTTAAAATAGAATTTGGAACAAAAAATACTGGTAAATATTTTCTGTGAAACGAATTTTGGAGTTATTTTCGATTTATTCAACTATGTGGTAAGCCAATGTTACATTTAAAGAAATAGTAACTTATACAATCAAATTCGTTAAGAAG